ACCTTGAAGAAATCTGCGCGAAGATAGAAAGAATACACACTAGGCGTAAGCAAGACAGAAATAGTTGGAACAAGCTTGAACGAGCAGAGACCTCGATGGGCGGTCTTAGGAGATCGGCTAGAACTGTACAGTACTAGACGAAAATGTTTAGCAATTTCTTAAAACAAAAATGTATATAAATTAACAATAGAAAACAAAGCAGAAGTTTTATAGGTGTGTAGTAGTAATAGTTAATTCACTTGTTATTATTTTTGGTTAAATATGCCTCTAAATAAAGCATATTCTTAAATTTTAACGAGGCAGTTTAAATAATTTTGCAAATGGTACTGTACACTTTTGTCTAGTACTCGCTCGATGATCGGTGGAGAAATGAGCTCCGCATCTCTAACTTCTTGAAGCGTACAGTATACGTTATTCGGAGCCGGAAATATCGAAACCTACTTTTGACAATCTTATAAGACGATTTTTTTTTTTTAATAGATTGACCCATATTAAAACATACCGTTTGATGCGAAATTAATAGCCCTTTCTACTGATTTATGGTTTTAAATATTTATCTCTAACAATTTTCCAGATAAAATCAATTATTTTAGGCACCATATCATTCCGGACCATTTTTGTTAAAATCTTTTTTTGACCCCGTAACTACGTCCAAACAAAACTATTTCTAAATATTGATTAGTACACATTTATTGTCATTTTAGACTAAATAAAAGTTCGGCCGGCCTACATTAATTTAACCAAACTATTGACGCTTTAGATACTTATTCACAGACGGGATCAAGATCTTAAACCAAGATTAAAAATAAATAAATGCAATATCAGGATCACTTATACAAAAATAATACGATAACAAGGCAAGATTCGAATTTTAGATAACAAGATCATATTTTGAAAATTGTCATATTTTGCCTATTGTCTCATCTTGCGGCCCATATTGAAAAGGGTACAAAAACGTTAATTCAAAAAAAAAATCTAGCTTGAACGCTTTTCAAACGGTTGTGAAATTACGTTTGCTAATAATGTTAAGTGTAATAAGATGCAATAAATCCGAAAATACCGACTTCTTTCTATTCGTAAACTAGCACGTTATTAGTGTAGTATTACAGCTATGTATTTTAAAGAAAAACATCGATTAAAGAAGACATATGAATTAAGTTTTCTTGATTGTACGAAACACTGCTTGCATAAAACAGCATCTACATATTTTTATCTGAATAGATAAGTGAAAAAGGTGTTGACTTTAATAATAGTAATTGTATTTGCAATCAATCGACCAAATATAACTAGTTAATAATGCATTTCTTTCACATTTAACTTTAATTAATAGATACACTTAAGTCCAATGACATTTTATTGGATTTAGTCGAAACATATTTGAATTCATTCTAAATTTACAATAAAATCTACCTGGATCCGTAATGAGTGTGTCTATTTATAGCAGAAATAGCAAGAGCATTCATTAAAATATATGAACGAGAAAATCTTCCCGTCGGTTTATATTTTTATCAATCTTCGTAAGTATTATCAGTATATCAAGTTCTCATTCTTGGTCTTAGGTGTATCTTGACAAAAAAAACAGCAACCATTTCTAAATTGAAGTATTTAAAAACTACAGATACTATGTAAAAATGTCTCTGTACATTTTGCAAAAGATATGTATTTATTTGTTACCTAAAATCTGAAAAATAAATGAATTTTTTCTCTTCACAGGCGTATTTAATTGATTTAAGATATAAATGCGAATTAAGATACAAGTATGCGAGTAGTAATCTTTCTTATAATTTTTTTTTCTTTTCTAAGCTTTTCACTATTGTGATTCCAAAATTTCTTCTCCGACGTGAGGTCAGACTTCATGTCCAATTCAAAATGTAAACAATGTTTGTTAAAGACTATATTTGACTCCGTAACTACGCCCAAATAAAACTATTACTAAATGTACCGTCCATTTCAATTTGTTAGAATTGTGACCTTGAAGAAATCTGCGCGAAGATAGAGGGAATACACACTAGGCATAAGCAAGACAGAAATAGTTGGAACAAGCTTGAACGAGCAGAGACCTCGATGGGCGGTCTTAGGAGATCGGCTAGAACTGTACAGTACTAGACGAAAATGTTTAGCAATTTCTTAAAACAAAAATGTATATAAATTAACAATAGAAAACAAAGCAAAAGTTTTATAGGTGTGTANAACAAAGCAGAAGTTTTATAGGTGTGTAGTAGTAATAGTTAATTCACTTGTTATTATTTTTGGTTAAATATGCCTCTAAATAAAGCATATTCTTAAATTTTAACGAGGCAGTTTAAATAATTTTGCAAATGGTACTGTACACTTTTGTCTAGTACTCGCTCGATGATCGGTGGAGAAATGAGCTCCGCATCTCTAACTTCTTGAAGCGTACAGTATACGTTATTCGGAGCCGGAAATATCGAAACCTACTTTTGACAATCTTATAAGACGATTTTTTTTTTTTAATAGATTGACCCATATTAAAACATACCGTTTGATGCGAAATTAATAGCCCTTTCTACTGATTTATGGTTTTAAATATTTATCTCTAACAATTTTCCAGATAAAATCAATTATTTTAGGCACCATATCATTCCGGACCATTTTTGTTAAAATCTTTTTTTGACCCCGTAACTACGTCCAAACAAAACTATTTCTAATTGTTAATTATTGATAAACTTTTAATAATCTTTTTTAAATTTTTAAGTTAACCATTCTTAAGCACAGCACAGCACAGTTTTTCATTTTTGCTGGACTGGGCCTTACGCTATTAGTTTTATATTTTATATCTGTCTCTATTTCTGCGCTATGTAATCTTTATTTTTAATAACTGAGTTTAGCTAAACAAATTAAGGAGCTAGTATATAAGAAATCTGATTTAAGATTAATTTTTAAAATAACCGTTTCACAAAAGGAAGCCAAATTAAAAGCACAGTAAGCTTCAAAGATGCCTAAATGTTTTTTCGTGTTTACTGAATTCGACCAAACATACGTTTCCTATGTTACGAATAGTTGACAGCTAATGAACTGACATTTTCGTTGGGTTAATACTATTTTACATTTTACACATTTTATTAATTGCTATTGGAAGTAAATTTAAATATACAAGAAAATGTTGAAGTTTGAGTTAATGACCGATAAAGATCGTCGCGAGGCGGCAGCACTCGAAAAACGAAAAGCTTTCGAAGAAGAAAGAAAAAAACGGATATTCAACCCGAAATTTAGAACCATGGGGGTAAGTATAAAAAAAGATTACAAATCCGAAAATAAAACACACATTTGTAATTCATTTAAAGCACATTACCTTGATTATGCCCTATTTTCTCTTAAATAAAGATTACAGTTTTAGTATCTCATCAATCCATGCATTTCACTGATTACTGTAATACCTATTTTTAAATTAAAAAAAGAAAAACAAATAATAACGACAAAAACAAACAGCACGTTCAAGTTACAAAATGCTTTTGTTTCGCCACACTGTTCTTGGGGGCGGTAAATAATAATTTACTTTCGAAGAATCTATTTCTTTTATTATTTTACACTTTATTTTAATAGAGGGTCGGGGGAATATGCTAAACATTTTCTAAGGGAATACTAAATAAGAGCGATTAAGCATCTGATCAGTGGGTCGCGATTTCGACCTTATTGGCACAAATTAGAGCAGCATGTCACCATCTGCTGAAAGGTACTTCAAACGTTTAAAATACTTCAGTTAGTTAGATGGTGGCATACTGCCGTAACTAGTTGAAGTATTAATTGTAAGTGTTTGAAAGAGAAGAATGGTTAACATCAATAATTAAACCTAATTCGTTTGTTTCCAAATTTTCTAATAAATTTAATTTTGCTTATTTCTGTTTGATGTCATCATAAGATTGCTAGTCCTAAGACTGGTTGGACACGCTCTTCCATCCTTTCCTATCCTGAGCTAATCTTCGCATTTCACTAAAACTAGAACATCCCACTTCCTTAACTATTTGAGAACAATAATCTAATCTAGGTCTACCTCTACTCGTTCTAGAACCCGTTCCTGCCTCTAATATGTCTCTGGCTGAACCATCATGTCTGAGAAGGTGTCCTACCATCCTATGTCGCCTATTTCTTATTGGCTTCCATAGACTTCTCCGTTCTTCTATTCTTTCTAATATCTCTTCATTTCTAACCTTCTCTATCCACGGTATCCTCATCATTCGCCGGTAACACCACATTTCGAAAGCTTATAACCGTTTCTTTTGCGCAGTGCTTATCGTCCATGTTTCACATCCGTACAGTGCCGCGCTCCAAACATACACCTTTGACAATCTTTTTTGAATTCCTATATTAATCGTTCGCGAGTATAGAAATGACTTCTTTCTATTGAAAGCTATTTGAACCTACGCTATCCTCTGCTTTATATTCCTACTACTCCTTCCGTCCTGATTTATCTATTCCTAGATACCGAAAATCAGCCACTTCTTCTAATTTTTTGTCTCCTATCTTTATATTCGCTCTTTCTCTACTTTTTCTTTTTGTTTTTATTTTTATATTTTATTTATTTTCATACATTACTGTTTTGTCAATAGCGCCGTTTGATGTATAAAATTTTTAAAATGTTTGCGACTGTAACAACCGAACTGTATTGAATTTCAACCGCATACCCTTATACAAATTTAATTCAAAATTTTAAATCCATTATCATCCCACATGAATTTTCCATTAAATGATGTTTAAATGTCAAGGTATTGGTTCTAAATCCAAACCTTTTTAGTGCTCTTCAACTGTATCCCTAAAGTGTCCGTTTGTTTGACCTACATAAAATGTATCACAAGTGAGACAATTTACGTTAGAATCTTATTTGCGTCAGCTTCATTGTTTTTTAAAAAGTTACCTAAGGAGCTATCCGTTTTAAATGTTTATTAAGCGGTCAAATTAAATAAATTCAATGGATTTTAACATGTGTTTCAAACAAGACCGAACAAGTTCAACTTTCGCCGAGTGTTCCATACTTTACGTATCTTTTGGGACTAATAAATGTCAATCATTTTATTTTTGTTGTAATATGCAAACAGCGAAGTAAAACCCTTTTCATTAAAACTCTATTTGTTCCCGATATTGTATAGTTAAATTTCGACCTCCATTTTATACTGTTCTTCTAATAAGCTTAAATATATTTTTAAAAAAAGTATCTGAAAGAAAAATGCGGCGAGCATGTTGTATAATTTCAGGAAGGTTAAGTCAATAACAACATATATTAGGTATACGTAGTGATTAAGAAAAATAATATAGACAGATTGAGTGACTGATGCCTAGTGTATTACGGTAAAGGTTCCTTGGTACCTTTTTGATATGGAACTATTCGCGAATGAATTTCAACATTGTACTTATCAGCATTTATCATCAACATCATCTTCAGCCCGTGTCTACCTCTACCCCTCTTTACTCCTGCTTTCGCTTCTAATGTGTCTCTAACAAGTCCTTCTTGACTTTCATAAAGCCCTCTGGTTTCTAACTCTATAAACCCATCTATCCACGGTGTTTTCAACATCCTCCTACAGCATCACATCTCATCAAACGTTTCTAAAATTTTCTTTTCGTTCACGTTTCACATTTCGTATTTAACTCAAACATCTGGTTGAAAATCCGGCAACCAACAATTAAAATTTCATTGGTTTAGTAAGCATTCAAACAACTTTTTGTACAAAAGCTAAATATTAGTTTGGGACGTTGGTAAGGGTGGTATTTAATACAAAGATCGTCAGAACGTAATGGTTTTGCCGGGTACTCGGTTATTCGGTACCCTGCAAAATAATTATCCAATACATCACTAATGTATATGTAATACTAATACTACATAATAGATCGATAAAGAAGCACTCGATAAGCAATTAGAGGAGAAGAAGAAGCAAAAAGAGGAAGAAAAAAAATTGGAACTTGCCTTTGCGAATCAGATGAAAAAGTACGACGAAATTGCGCTTGCGATGGAGAAAAAAGAAAAGCAGGTATTTTATGATGTGCCTATTCTTAATTACGCCGTTGTTGTAATGTTAGAAAAGCCGACCACAACACTAAATGAATATTATAAGCAGTAGGTAATTTATTTTTATTCGTAAACAAAAAAATTGCCTATTTTCAGGAACGACATAGAGTTCAAGAAGAAATTCTTGAGTTTCGCAAAAACTTCCAAAAGTTTGAAGATCGACGGGAATATGATCTCAATGATCCGCATTTTTTACGAAACACTCTGCCTGCTAGAATCCACGACAGTGATCCAAGACTAGGAGCGTCGTCAGTACAAAAGTAAGAACAAATAAATAATGTTTAATCTTCACCATGATTTACACTTACAACAAGTGATTTGTTTATATTTTTACGTTTAAATATTAAATTAAAAGTAGTTGTAAAAAACAGTTAGTAGAAGACAGTTAAAGCATACTACGTCTGAGTTATACGTATCTTGTCATTTTAAATTCTTCTCGTCAAAGCACCAGCCCAACTTGGAATTGTTTAAATAAGCAGAGGCATTAAATTAATTCGAATTTTTGGGCAGAATAAGAATGGGGTTTCTTAGGGGGCTAACATATCCTCATACAAACAAAAATTGTAAAATTAATTTTAATTCCTTAGATTGCAGACTGATAAAAAGTGTATGCATGACAATTAAAATTTATTTCATTTTTAGATTCGAAGGTGAAGATGTTACTGGTGCCGAAAGAAATAAAATAATGAAAGAGCAGCTTCAAACCTGGTTAAGGCAACAAATGCTGGAACGAGAAACTGCGGAAAACGAAAGAAAAGTTGCGGAAAAGGCGTATTTGGAGGCATTAGCAGCAAGGGACAAAAGAGCCGTTCAACTGGACTGTTTAGAGAAGGACTGCCGGAGAAAACTTCAAATAGCTACGGCCAGGTTTAATAAAGCACTGGTAACATTTGGTTTATTCCTATTTGAGTTTTATTTCTTTTGTTTCATATTTTCATTGATTGTAACTACATAAAAGTACAATTGAATAATTTGAAGTCGAACCTCAAAATTAATTCAAACACTCCCACGTAAATTAAATAAAAAAATACATAATCCTAAAACATCCCAACAACGTATAATAAAATGCAGCATAGTGTATCATGAGTTTTTGACATAATTATTAATTAGGTTTTGATGTCTCGTTGTCGACAATATTCTTAATTCGTAATAACTGATAAAGCAGGCACTTTGATTTTTTTAACCCATGTCCATCCTTTCAACTCCACTTTCCAGTTTTTAAGTATTGCAATATTTTTTTATCGAAAATAGCTGAAGTTTCTATACATGTCAACCTAAATTAAATGCCAGAAAAATTTTATTTGTACCTTAAAATTCTAGTTATAGGGACCGCAAGTAACAGTGATTAGATTGTATTAATTTTTAGAAAGATCATTTGTCTAAATCAAACGTTAATCAGAATCTAATTAAAGAAACAATTACCAAACGATGCGTCATCTTGCAATAATGAAATGATGATATTCAAATAACAACTTAGTCTCATTTTACTTTGGAAACTGTTTAGTCAGATGAAAAAGAATGCCGTGACCGAGAGAAAAAGCGTCAAGAGTTGGAAGATAATTTGGCCGAAATTTACAACACAATGACTAGTGATATGATGTCGGAAAGCAGAGATTCCGCAGAAAGCAATTTGGGAGCAGGACGAAAAGTCGGTTTTATGTATAGAGGAGAAAAACATGAGATTGCTAGACAAATAAAAGCTGAACAAATGGCTCAAATAGAAGAAAGTAAGGTACGAATATATACAATAATATCTTGTTGAATTCTTCACTCGTTTGTGCATGAACGGTACTTCGTTTATTTATTTTAATTTTTTTGAATTAAATTTATATTTTAGGACCAAGTCCGCCATCTCTTGTACACGACTGACTTCTTGAATAATTGCTGTTATTTTAAATGTATTAAAATAGGCTCTATTTTACGATCAAATTATTATACTATATGCAAATAACTACTTTATTGACAAATTATAGGCTAAAAACCACCCTGATTTATAATCATAACTATAAACTTAGGACCGAATGCATCAACATTGTCAATGTTATCCGCACCACTAACATAGATGGCGCGCTATGTCTGTAAATAACTAATAATTTGAACACTCATTTAAATTTGAAATAACCTCCATAATAACAAGGTATAAATACATGTACATTTGCATTGAAAGTTTATTAAACACTATCTATTATGAATTACGAGTAAAAATCTTTAAAAATAGATAAATTTTACTACAAACTTATCCTTTTTATGCTCGTATTATATTTAAACAATTTAGTGTAATTAATATACGCGCTGTAAATTAAATACGCTCTTTTTTAACTTTATTCTAAAAATTTGAATTTTAGAAACGTAAAGAAGAAAAGAAGAAATTCGATGAAGAATGGGATAGATATACTATTGAAATGCAACGAAAAGTAGCACTTTTGGACAGAGAGGAGAAAAAGAAACTTAGGTAACTAAATAATTAAGCTGATGTTGAAACATTTTCATCATTATAATGTTTCATTTCAGAGAACAAAAGAAGCAAATAGCCGAAGAAAATAAAGAGATGAGTATCGAACATAAAAATCATATAGATTTTCTTGAAAAAATTGTATACACAAACAAACCTACGGCTGCTTTCTACGAACAATTTAATTCAGGAACGAGATAAAACAAATAATTAACTTTACTAAAACAACATCAATACAGGTCTTCCACATTAAAAATTACAAAAATATTATATATTAGATTCAATATTTTTCAAAGGGGACGTTTATTAAACCCTTTTCTTTCAAATTTATTATTGAATTGGCAATTATTTTCGCAGTTCTCTTCTGGTATCCACCACTGGTTAGCATTACAATAGGAATTTTATTGTGTCGCGCAAAATTAAACACTAATGTGTCTCTTTGAATTATACCCTAAGATAAAATATTACAAAAATGAAAGTGAAATCAGGAGTTTTATTTATTTTACCATTTCTGATACGGAAAGTCCTCCTAAAGGATCCCCTTCTAAGATATCTGTCCCTGCATTATAAACTATTATATCAGGTTGAAATTCACTTAAAGCAATTCGCAAGCCCCTATAATAAAATAAAAGGATAAGAAGAGTATTCCATGACTACCTTAAGGTAATAAAATATAAAAACTAAAAAATAAAATACCGAAATCCCTGTACGAAGTGCCCTATAGGTGAATAAATACCACCACTTTAAACTGATTCTTAAGTCCATATTTCGAGTTTCATAGGATATTAGTAACTTGGTTAAAATAGGATCTATGGGAACATTTACTGACGACTTATTTAATAAAAACTGGTTGAAAATAAGTTACAATCTTGGAACTACTAATGGTTTTAGATTAATTAGTATGTGAACTATAATGAAGCAAAGTAATTTATTCAAGGCATCATATCAATGAAGAGGCATGAGCACCTTGAGTACACTGACAATAGAACCCTTTAATGCTTTGGAAACTCTAAACATATGCTAATTGTGTTTGTGTGTAATTTTTCACTCATTTCCTGTTAATAGGCAAATCTCAGTAGTCTCCTTTGAAAACTTCATTTATTAAAAAAAAAAGAAAGAGTAGAATAGGTACCAAAATATACCTTTTTACTTCTCGGAGATATTCAGCATCTTTCGTATGATGTTGAAGTTCTACTTTTAATCTTATACTTTCTTTAGCTTCTTTGTCAAACGGATATATCCCTTCGTTATAAACGTCCAATATATAAACCTTTTCATTGTCTTTGAAATCCCTTTCATAACCATTACCCTTAAACAAGATATTCATAAGAAATAAAAATAATGAAAAACTGTTCCAATCTAAAAATAAACTACTGTCTTCATTACATTGTACCTGATGAGCATCTAAATCAACAATCATTGCTGTTCTTACTACTTGAGAGTAATAATTGAACAGAAAAGTTATTAGTAACGTAATATCAGCATATGGACAGAATCCTCCTCCTGATTTAGAACTACAATGATGAAATCCTCCTCCAATATTAATTGCCCATCCTCTTTCAAGAGCTACTTTTCCAGCTAATATTGATCCACCTGTCTGGTATCTATAATATATTTCTTTTAACAAAAGTAACAAACTTCAATAAAAAAGTTTACAGACCTCATTGGACATAAATAAGAAGACTGAATTAAACAATTTGGCACTAATATTAATGCAGGTATTTCAGCTACTTGAGCAACATAAAAGCTGCACTGCAATTAATTGATTACAGGACACAGGACATGTTTAGTAACAAACTTCTCTAACCTTTAAACGCTTTAAATATTTCTTTGAGTGAACTGCCAACAAATCTTCCCTAGTTGCTTCATTTGGTTTAATTACTGTTTCTTCAGTAATTATCCTCGCTTCTTTTAAGTACTACAAATATAATGTATTTAACTCATTAAATCAATTAATTTTTAAAATTTGTAAGTTTACATACATTAAAAATATTTTCCCACTTTCTTGCATCAAATGGATGCAACCTTTCCAAACCAAAAAAACGTACATTATATTCTTTTCTATATATAATTGGACACTGATCTTTTTTAATTTGAATATATAAATTAGATCTACAAAAAAAGAATTTTTCATTGAAAGGCTATCAAATTATAGCATTCAACTTACTCTATAGTATTTACATGATGATAATAAACTCAGATAATTTGTTCTTACTATCAATACTATTTTGTTCTATTAAAAAGTAATTTTGAATTTATTTAAAAAATTTTCACCATAACCTGAAGATCACAAACGTCAAAAGTTGACGTTACTTCAGAAACTTCGCAAGGCCGTTCCAAGGTCTCCATCATATACAGGAGTTAGTTAAAAAATATATTACCAAATAAAGCCAGTAATTCATATATATTTCTATAAATTGTTTTCTTATAATAAATCATTTATACTCAGTAAATATATCATACCATTATGCTGTAAAATTATTTAAACATTATTTTAGAATGTAATATAAGTAATTGCCTCTTTTTATTTTAATTTGCTTAAAATGTAAAATTATAAATACCCTTAAATTATTTCAAACTTCTGCTTCGTTATTAAAACAAATATAAGTAATAATTTAAAAAAAAAATATTTTTATTTTGTATCTTAGTGACAAGTAGAATACAAACAGAACCAATGAGAAATGAAACCTTGCAAAAGATTGTCGCACAATTAGGTAAATAAGCGAATAAGTAAATATTCAAACAAAAAAAATGATATTTCTTACTTGTGTTTAACGATAAAACATTCTTACTAAAGTAAAAAGGGCACATTAGATTTAGAAATAGAAAGATAAGCGAAAAATGGAAATCCACGAAGAGGAACACATATTAAGGTAAAAATAATAGAATTAGTAATAAATTTGTACTTATAAATTCCTGTTTAATTTGTTTTAAAAGATGTACTGAAATGTTTAATCAGTATGAAGAAATGATTGAGTCGTTATCACAAAACATACAGTTTTATCAGGTAAAAAAAATTAATAAAAAATAATAAGTACCTATTATATTTACATATGTATGTAATTTTAATATAGGAAGAGGTTCACACTCTTAAAGAAGAATTAAATCATTTCATACAGCAAAACAAAGAACTCTCCCTTAAGTTACAAGAAGAGCGCAAAGCTAATTTACTACTTGAGAGCTTTAAAGAAAGAGACCAGTTTGAGAATAATATAATTAACAGTCTTAAAAGTCAATTGGACTCCACATTACAAGTAACAATATAAGCTGGTTTTTATTTTAGGTTTATATAAGTAAATATTTGTTTTTTTTTAGGAAAATCGGACAATCACAGAATTATGGCAGTCATCGTTGAAAACTATAGACTGTTTGGAACAAGAATTAAATATTTATAGAGCTGATAACGACGGCTTTGTTTCGCAACGTTTCTTAAAATGTGTAAGTTTTAATTTTTTTTACCTGTAAATGTTAGTGATTTTTCAATTCACGTAGGAAAAAGAAAAATATGATCAGGAACTACAAAGCTTGCACTCAGATTTACAAAATTTACAAGAAAAATTAAAAGAAACAATTCAATTACATACAGATGCGCTAAAGGCAAAAAATGAAGAGTTATATCTTGTGTCTGAAGAAAATAAAAACGTGAAACAGCAAATCGACGATTTTAAAAGTGAAATGAATGAACTACGAAAACGACAGATTGGATTAGACTCAATACAGGAACGCTTCACGCAAGTGTTGAATGAAAAATTACGCCAAATAGACAACTATAAGAAAAACGAAGCAGCAATAAAAATAAAAATGAACGAAGCACTTGTTGTGGCTGAGCGGGCTGTAGTTGAGAGAGATGCTGCTATATTAAGGGAAACACAAACAAAAAGTAATAAAAAAGTTTGAATTTGACTTGCGCGCCGTGGGTTCTGCACCTTATCAAAAATAGTATTATCAGTTTTGAAAAACAATTTTTTTTTAAATGCGTCATTTATAGATCTTTTTATAAATTTGTATGATAATATCTTTCTTCCACCTAAATTTGAAGTTCCTAACTAAACTAGAAGGGATTAGATGGTCACAGTGATGCTTTTGACAAACAAACGGATTAAATTTGAAACTCGTGATTTTCATATTTTTTTCTAAACTTGTACCATACTTATCTTTCTCCAATTCAAATTTGAAGATTCTACCTCAAGGAAGAGAACCCACCCACCGATTTTCATGATCAGTAATATTTTTGACGAACAGACAGACAAACAACGAAGAGATCTTATAAGGTCTCAGTTTTATTTCGGTACGGAACCCTAATAAGAAAAACAATCATTTTACATCCACTAAAAAGAAGTTTTACTTCGTTTAATACTCTTTAGGTGGAATACATATATCGATATCCAAAACGGCGTACAAGAATAAATGTTTTCTCTGTAAAAAAGTTTTATTTATTAATTAAATACATAAATTCCTTTTTTAATAATTAATTTCAGACGAAGTAGAAAAGTTATCGCAATATTTTGAACAAAGTCGCAAGGAAATGGATCTGAACATGGCAAACCAAATAAAAGATCTCGAAAAGTTGTATGAAGAAAAGGGAAAAGTAGCAAATGAAGAAATTAAGGCACTAAAAGATGAATTAGCAACAAAATCCCTTCAACTAGAAAAATTTAAAAACGAATGCGAAATTCTCCATGAAGAAGTAAAACGCATTAGACAAGGAAATGCCTACATTGATGAAACAAATACCTCAAGACTACTTATTCTAGAAAAAAATATGGAAGCAACCTTCCAAAAATTGGTAAGAAAAGTCTTTTTAAACAGAATGACGCAACTTTTTATATATTCAGCTTATTTCAGAAAAAAAGGGCCTTCAGTTGGCTGCAGAAAGAGATAGTGTTAAAGCAGATCTGGAGCAAATGGTAAACATGTATCATAATGACATGAAGAGCAAAGAAATTGAAAAAACGGCCATGCAAAAGAAAATGATATCCTTACAAAACGAACTCGAAATGAACAGAAATAATGTAATGGTTATAACAGAAAAGTTAGAAAAACTAGCAACTGAAATAGACAAACTTACGGTTGAAAATAAAAAATCCTTACATGTAAAGGACCAGTAAGTACACAAAACTCCTTAAATACTGTAATTATTTAATTCTCATACATATGTTTTTAGAAGAAACCAAAAAACACTAAATGAAATGAAAGAAATGCAGGACAAATTTGAAAAAATTCAGGACATTACACGGAGACATTTGGATCTGCAACAAGAAATAAATAAAAAATGGCAAAAGGGAATAGAGGAAACAACTAGAAAGTTCGAAGAAAGGATAAATGAGTTGAAAAGGGAAATTCGTCATTTAAAAGCAACGAACAATCACTTAGAACAAGCTCTGCTAATTGCTAATGCAACCATGGAAGAATATAAGAAATTTTATGACCAAATGTGTGGAGTTGCTCAAAACATTGCTGAAATAGCCGATGCTCCTACTGAAACTTGATATACAACCATTTTTACTGTTTTAAGAAAAAATGCCATTCATTGCAATATTTTTTATATAATAAAATATTTAGACGTTATAACAAATAAATTATCTTGATAGGATACTGAATAACCACAATCTTATCAAAATTAACATACAGCTCTACTGCGATTTGCAACAAAAGTTAAACCACATTTGCTTAACAGCTAATTAGTTTGTGGAATCAACACAAGCAGTAAATAAACTTGGAAAGTAATATAATTTCTCAGAAGAATCTTGTAAATCAACCCATGCTAGTCCTTCCTTTATCATATGGTCTAGTGCTTTCTGTGCTCTTCCTTCTTCCCATTTTAGTCTCCTTGTTAACATTGATACAGAAGTAAATGATTCATTAGCATCAGACATTTGTTGTAATATTGCAGTGTGATCCATACTTAACTCTCCTGGTATTGACTGGACCATATATTTGCCTTTGCCAACTGATATCACTGAAAATCCTTTACCTAGCACTCTTAACTTACGAGCTGCCCTTAGCAAATCATCTTGACTAATTTCTTGATGATGTTTACTTTGCCCTCTTGCTTTAATAAGCCGTGAGCGTAATTCATCTAGACTAATAAGGCCACCATTCTTATAACTAGTTGCTAAACATACCTCCACTATCTGTACAGCAAGTTCATAATAGAAGTCACCTATTCCTAAGACAGACCAAAATCCCTTTCCGGAAGCTAAAGGATCTACGCCAATTGATGCACACATTTCTTGAAATTGTTTTCTAAACTCAGGATTTTTCTTTATTTCACTTTTGTGTTTGGCTGCAAAGTCTTCTAAATTAACTTTGAAAACTTCGAGTTGTTTAGACATTTCTTCAAGTTGTACTTCTTGAATTTCATTTCCTTTCTCTTTAAATTTTTCTAGTTCGAGTTTTTGTTTGTTAATAGCTCCAATTCCAGCTCTTCGTCTCATATCGTCTAAAGATAAACCAAAAATTATCTAATTATTTACTTGTTAAAAACGATAGCTATTTATTTAAAAGTTTGGTTACATCAACTCTAACTGCTTCGTTTTCTTCTCCATCACAAAAATGATTTTGCCTATTTAGCCAATCTACCTTATGAAAAGCATGACGTCAGCAAATGAGATTTCATTAATAATATTCTTTATAAAAGATTTACCTGACATTTTTATTGATTTAATTGAATTTATTATAATAATTTAAGGTGCTTTTGACGTATTGCGGTTAAATGGAAAAATATTAAACAATTTCTTACATTCGCAAACATTTATTTACATTCGTCGTGATTTAGGGTTCAATTTTAATTAACACTGATGAAATTAATACTTTAGTAGACTAATTTAACATAATACATTCATATAAATACACAGTACGGAAAAATAACTTATAAAAAATAATTTCAAAGTCTTACTATTAATTATTGATTAATAACAATTAACTAGCATTTTCTGTTTGGTCCACAGCCTTTTGTTGATTAATTTCTTTAACAACGTTGTTATTTTTTTCTTTACGTGTAAAATAATGAAGGGCTTTTTCCTTAAGATTAGTTGTCCAAACGGTTGATGGTGGGCAGGTAACAGATGGAGTAGCGTCTAAATCGGGAAGGGGCCTTTTGTACAATCTTCGGGCAATAACACTTAACAGTACCATTTCCAACAACATTAGCGTGTTGTGTATCACTTAAAATAATAAAACTGTGCAGTAATAATTTTAGGGGCTGACATTTGGGAAGTTATTGGTTAAAAAATTATAACAATCTCAGGGAAACAAAACAAATCAACATATGCAGGGATCAATTCGTCCATCTTACAAAATTTGCTAGACCTATTAAATTGTAAATTTGTTAGGAATGAATTACATATTATATTGTTTAACATTAAATCGTTTTAGAATAAAAGAATTAACTGTTTACCAAAACAATGTAAAGTACAGTAACATCTTACTTACAGTTTCCATATACTGCTGATGTGATTGGTGGTTTACATGGAAGAAGTCCAGCCCAAACTATAATCCTTGTGGCGAGTCCTTGCAATTTAGCGAACAATAAAACCATTTGTAGTACAAGAAATTTAGCTTGCAGAGAGTGATCTTTAAGTACGTCTTTCAATAATGTTATCGTCATTGTCATGCCCCATATTCCAAACAAAATTGAGACGACCACCACTGGTTGAACGTACATGTAATTTATTTGGTACAGACTCTAAAATTTGAATAATTATCTACCTATTGTATTGCAAAATATTTAATAGTTAACCAATTAACCAAACATTAATTAATTTACAAACTGCCTAGATAAAAGAAATAAAAATAAATTTCTTTTCGAAAGACTATAAAATTTAAAAAGCTATGGAGAGCCGATCTTCACATTTATTTTGATGAAGAAAGGAAGACACACTAAAACAAAAAAAAACCTGATCTTCTCAGATAATAATTGCCATCCTTAATAACTTTCTAAGTAAGAATAAAATATTCTTAAATCATCTCTTTAAACTTTGCAATATGTTACCAGTAATAGCAGATCGAAACATTATGGCGGCTAACGCCCGCCATATTTATAATTCCGTGACGTCTGCATTATGAACTCGAGTCTATTCGTCCATTTTTGCTTTCATTATGCATAGATATGTGGAAAAGTAAATACTTTTCTCTTTCGGAAAAGAAGATTATTACAAGTCCAGGATTATTTATTACTAGATTATATAAACTAGATTATAACGACCGTTAATAAAATTTAGAGAAATCTTCCTACACTTCTTTTTTCCTTTAGACTTTAGAAAATTACTATGTACATGTCGTGTCCTAGATTCACATTGTTACACCACATAAACGCGTTATTAAATATTTTAACAATTTTTAGATTCACAATTCCTTTTTTCCTTGTACCATTTTCATAAAATGCTTAAAAATTTAAACCTTTGTAATTTGTTATGATAAATTACTAGGTAATGATGTTAATAAATATTGTGCAAATTGTAAATGTTTAATTATATTAATAAAAGCACTATAACAAATTATATTATTATGTATTATTTAGGTCGCTGTGAATGTCTGCTTTCAAATTTTCTTTTTAAAAGGATTATTATACTTAGTTAATATTATTCAAGATTGTATTTGTTTGTTCAT